GTTTTACCAAATATGTAAATTGTACTTGCACCGAGCGACCAATACTTAGCACAATTGTATTGACTTTTCTCAGGCAGAATCTTCATTGCCTCGAGAAAAAAAATAATTCGTTACATTATTATAACCTAAACTTGCACTTCAGTTTCAACAAAACATGTCCATCTAAAGATATAAAAAAACTTAAAAGCATAAAAAAAAGGAGCCAATCTCGAAAATTCTGCAACTGTAGTAAATCGTTGACTCTTGCAACAAATGGCGATTATTCGAACAACCCTCGAAAGAATTTCTGGACAGCATGAAATTTCGTTAATTAATCACGATCTTCTGAAGCACTTGAGCTGAAATATATTCAAATATGAATGCTCTGACCTGTTAATAATGAATAGTATTAAAAAAAATAACAATAAATAAAATAAAAATTATTTTTATATTCAGCACAGCTGGGCTACGCCTACTCAACACCTCAGGGATAAAAAATTTTAGTAAAAAATGTTTAAAAACAATTAAATTGACTGGACTTTAAATTTATTTTTTGGAAGCTTCGTGCAATATCTGTTGTTTATTGATTTTAGTGGAAAAGTTCATTAGAACTGTAAATACGAAGAAGTGAAAGAGAGGTATCGCGTTACCCCGTTTACGGGCCTGCAATTTAAACATATTTATTTTCCCTCAGTAAGTATACAGGTACACACGATTCGAGCTTTAGCTGTTTATTCAACTAAAGCTGATTTAATTAAACATTTCAATTAGTTCGTCTCGTTATGTTACACCATTTTGTCACACTGCAGATGGCACGAAAGGTCAAAAGTATATTTTTCGTCTCCTACTGGCTGTATCGAATCGATCGATGTCGATGAGCTCCAAACACATTTTAAATTTCGCCGTACATCACAAAGGGGAAACAAATCCAAGAACTTGCCAAAAATGCATGGTGGTACCACCAACTGTATACGTCAAAGCTCTATCTATAGTTGACCCACGTGACGTCGTAGGTACTACCAATTGAAATCAGTAAACGCCACCGCAAACGACACGTACTTTTCACTTTGGGTGCGCCATCTCGAGTTTAAAAACGCGCTTGCATGAAAAAGCTGGATGAAAAGCAATCCGTATCACCCGTGGAAAAGACTTTTTGCGGTCTCTAGTGGATTCCCTTTCCCTTACCACGAACGAGCTCTCGCGTCGTACGGCGGTCCTCGGTAATCCACAAACGTGTCCACGGACGCGTGTGCATTGGCCGCGCACTCGCACATACGATCGAAAGAGAGCTCGGGTCAACTGAAAAAAAAAAAATTCCCCGAGCGATGAACGAACTGGGGGGCTGATGAAATTAAAACCTCCGATGTGCTTTAAGCGAATTCTGAAAGCTTTCTCCAAAAAAAAAAAAAAAAAAAAAAAAAAAAAAAAAAAATCAGAGATTTTTCCAACTTCAAAGCAAAAGAGCGAATATAAATACAGGCGACGTTTTCAAGTTAGACACGAGCCAATTAAAACTACTCACGGATACAGGGAGAAAGAGGGAGGAAAGAAAAAAGTACTAAATAATGAGCGACGGAGCCTTTGGGGATTATTAATTAGCAAAAGGCTCGCGTGTATATATATGCAAGGGATGCGTGCACAGCTTCTTGCTGCTTGTGGTTTTCCATATACACCCGAGGGACGCTGCAGAGCGAGCACGACCAGGAGTAAAAAATGGGTTGAGCGCGAAACGACGGATGGGTGTACAGTATATTATACACTTGGATATTCCCGGGTAGGTATAATTTTGGCGTAAGTAAGCAAGAGTCGGGCGAAAGCTCCGAGAGCAAGTCAGTGGATTCCCTCTCTCGGGGAGTCAGCTGAAATTGTTTTCATTATCGCGTGCTGATGCTTGCACGTGTTATACGGCGTGCGGTGTCCCAAGCAGGGGGGACGGCGTAACGCATCGCACAATGAAAAGCGCCGCAACTGTGCCGCGTACTTATTGTGCGAAGCGACGAGGGAGGAGGAAGAAAAGCTCCTTGGATCTAGAGCAGGAGGAAGCGTGCCGATGTGTATTCGTATACAATATACCTGTGTGCCCCCTCCCGCCTATTCACTGGAGGCAAAAGCCGCTTTGGCTCGAGAATTTACGAGCCGAGGAAATGGGCCGCACCCGCGAGAGGGGGGAGGGGGAGGAAAAAAAAAGCTACAGGAGCTTATCTGCGTCGCTGCTCGTATGCACGGGAGTAACGCGAATGGGGTGATGTTACGCGCGAGAATCCGAATAGCGCGTCTGTGCCCGTAATAGTCCATCACAGATACAGGTATATAGAGAGGAGAGGGGGTGGGAAAAGTGCCGTAAAAAGAGGCGCAGCCGTTATCAAACAATAGCTTCGAGAGATATATGTTTATTAGCCCAAGGGCCATTAGGTATACGTGCAGTTAGGTGTTTCCAGCCCACCGAGTCTTTGTGCAATTAGCTCGTGAGACGTGGTCGTGTGGCGGCGTCTTACAATTTATCAGCTCGAGTTATCAATTACAGATGCGCCGAGCGTCTTATACGCCCCATCTCTCTCTCTCTGTAGCGCGTAATTAAGCTGTACCCAGCGAAAGCACCAAAATTTGACGTGCCCCTAATGCGGTCACTGTTACGACAAGGCTGTAGAGACGACACGGGTGCGTGTGTGTGTAAGTAAGGCACGTGGGTCGAGACGTATGTGTGTATACGCGGTACGGCAATTATAACGAGGCGAGTGGAGCGGAGGAGAAGCCGGTGCAGTGGCTCACGTGAAAATTTGATTTTAGTCGGGAGGCAAACGAGTGGCGTGTGCAAGCGGGCGTGGATTTAGATGTATACGTGTATTACATACGCGGCAGCGTTAATTTGTTTCTCAGCTGCCTTGCGGCTTTGAACGTTCCTTTGATCGCGGCTTAATTTAAGTTTTACCCACGGTGTGGTGCCTATACATGTACGCATACATGATACGCCCTTGTTGTTTCGAGAAAGTTTTCGCTATCCCTCATTTCGTTACCGTTGTAAATATACAAGGATGAATGATATTCTTTTGGTTGAATCGAATGCAGCGAGTTTTGAGAAAATTTTAATTTACCTGTTCGCGTTTGATTAATCAACGGGCCAGAAAATTTAAGGAGTAGTGGAGGAGTAGTCCCAACACGAGAATATGATAGAACGAGGATCGCGGGAGGAAACAAGTCGATTGGGTCGAGACGATTGATGGGACCAGATTCGAGTTTCCTTGACAAAGGAGACAGTCTTAATATCACTAATGATCTTCGATCGATGATGGGTAGCGGTACAAGTCTGAAGCTAAGAAAACGCTGTAAGAAATCGTGATTCAGCACCCCACAACCGCGGATCGAAGCGTATGAAAAATGAGTTTATAAATAAATCTTCACAATTTATTCGTGGTACGAATGGTACGAGAGCGATACGAAATAAATTGTGAAGATTTATTAATAAACTCATTTTTCATTTGATTTTAATATGGAATTGAATCTTCATCAAGTGACGACCGAAAGTATTAATTTTATATATATATATNGGGATTTTTCCACTCTAATATATATATATATTGCCGTATCGCAAAGACAAACCAAACCCATCGAACCCCTAACCCACTTAGCGCCGAGGGCCCTCCTGTGCCCCGCCCCTCTCCTTTGAACACCCATATACAACACACCCTACTATAATCAGGTCGATCTCAAAAGCTGCTCCACTGAGCGCGGCACACCCGAGGAGAAAGGAGACCATACTACGTTTACGTTCTCCTCTCCTTTTACCAGCAGTCACCTCCCGGCTCTCGTTACACGCGAGCCTCCCTCAACTTAATTAGGCACCCCCTCACCCCTTTTTCTCGCTTGGGTGCGAATATTTTTCCCAAAAGCAAACAGAAAAGCCCGAGTAAGTTGAACTCGCTCTCGGTGAGTATACATATACGTATACTATACGTTACCCCGTTCGCACACTCGACACCGACTTTCAGCGATTTTACCGCGCGAGAACGAGGGATATAACTTCCTCCTTCTTCTTCTCCTTTCCGGGGGAATGTGTGCGAGTGCGGTCTCTATCCTACCGTTAAATGGAAGCTCGAGTGTATGCGCCATTACTGCTGCACACTGGAGCTTGCAGCCAAAAGCTTTGAGTTTGCCTAACGCTCTCGCTTTTCCGAGCGACTCGACGCGATAATTCGCTCGTTTTGGGTATACGAGTGTGTATGTATGTACTTTGCTGAAATGGGACCACGGAGCCTGGGAATTGAAAAAATTATGCGTACCGCACAGCCCTCTCAATCGAGCTGCACACGCTTGTTTTTTTTTTTTTNTTTTTTTTTTTTTTTTTTTTTTTTTTTTTTTTTTTTTTTTTTTTTTTTTTTTTTTTTTTATCCAAATTATGGGTGTTGGGCACTAGTTTCATCGCGGTCGCAGCCACCGCAGAATATCTGGACGATACCGATCGGAGATCGAGAATTGCTCGGCCGATCGGGTAAACGGCGCGTCGTTTTTGCGCTCAGGGAGCCAATGTACGTGCATTTCAGGACACTCGATCGCCGCATGGAAAGTGTTTTTACCTGTGGTATCGAAAGTTTTACCGATCGACCTGTAAAAGATTTGGACGAATGATTATAACTTTCGTGAAATACACATATCCCACCGGTCGGTAGACCCTTTGCTCAACGTGTAGTTGCAATTATATTTACACACACATATATATTATGTAGCGCCCAACGAGAAGAGGAGGAGGAGGAAAAACCGAGAGCAGGTCGTAAAGGGAAATTGGAAGACGGTCGTTCGAAACTAATTAAAACTCGCCTACTTAGCTGGTTACCCCGACGGCTTTAACGCCTCGCTGCTGTCTCATTTTGTACACCACCCCCCTCCCTCCTCTCGTGCTCCTCCTGTTGGTTAATCAAAAGTGGCTTCTCCTTCAAATAAGTAACGAGTGTTTTCAAGATACCAACAAAAACAACAGCACACAGTCAAGCTCAAATTTTGAAAAAAATCGGTTGAAAAGTACTCACCGAGTCCCTCGATGATCTGTCCCTCTTTGGCCGGTATGAGGGGTATGGCCCCCGAATTGCTCATCTCCCCTCCTTAGTTGCCGGACGCCCTCCAACGAGGGACGTCACCCCTTGGCTTCGTATACTATACCGAACACACCGGCACTATATTTGTGTACACACACACCCACGCACGCACCCACAGTTATCTCTCGTATATCGTGCGAATAATCAACTTGTTCACACGTACATCAACCAAAGGAGTGACGATGTACCCGCGTCGCTTCGAATCTTCGTGGTCGACGTGTTGCCGATCGTCACACAACTAGAGCCGGTCACAACTGATGCAACAGGACGCCGCGGGGTGCACTATACCACTACCACCCGCTGCACCACCACCGGCGCGCACATTTCACCGCGCAGCTGCTCGAAGAAAATGACACACGGGGACAGAGAGGAGGTTGCCGTGCTTGGCCCATCATCGGCTGCAAGGTAGCGGAGCATCGAAATTACCAATGTCCGATTCGCGAGGGTGACTTTGGGGAAAGCGCGCATCGGCCCGAGGGTTAATCGGCTGGGCCGATTGGACGGAAGAACCGTGAGAGTCCAACTAATAGACCCGAATATCGATTGGAAAAGACTGCTCGGTTTTAAAAATTTACCGATCTGGATTTATATGTAAACCGTGTCTCTCTTTTGCCCCCGAATCGCTCGGCCATCGAGTGCTGCATGACGCGGTGTTTATCTTAAATTCACTGATTAATTAATACGCGGATTATATCGCGTGTAGCGCTGAAAATCGATACAAATACATTACGTGTGTGCGGCGCGTACACTTTGTTTATTTTATCGGTCAATAGGTAGTTTTGCTAATTGACCCAAGTATCGGCCGTTCGATCGTTTTGCCATTAATTTCATGCGGGTTACACGATATTGCAATTTGTTGGTGCGTTGGTATTGAAATTTGAGGTATTCCGGTGTAATGGCAAAAAAAAAAAAAAACGTATTTACGCGTACGTTTAAATATAACCGACTCTGATATTCACGTATACTGATGTAGACAGAGTGAGTTGTTTCGTTCGACAACTACGTACCTGATGTATACAGCATGATATGTAACCGTGGCATTTCCCGAGAACCACGTGTAGAGCGATTTTTTCTGACGCGAACCCCGTTGGAATTAATTTTTTAGGGCAAATAGCTTTTAAATAGGAGCCGATTGAAAATACGTTCCAAACTACCCCTAAATGGGGTTGGAAGGCTATAGCGCGCCCGCATGAACTCGCGACGTTGCCACATTGTTATTGGAGCTTAGTCGGTAAGCAGTGAGAACTATATCCATGTGCGCACGCAAGAGCGTCAGCTACTGCTGGTAACTTGAAGGTTGGATGTAAAAATTTTTACCTTGAGGTAAATATTGTCTGCTCCTTAAGTTGTCAGTTGTTTATCCACGCGCTTACTGTCTTTCTCACTCTCATGTTGGACAAAAACATCTTTAAATTTTTATACTTAAGTAATGTTACCTCAAATAAAAGTAAAATACCATATCAGTAGGGATTTTTCCACTCTACACGATAGTATTTTTGCAAAAATAGTCGACCTCTTGGTCAAAAATATTGTTGTTGGGTATGTCTTGCTTACGTTCCCGGGTATGTCGTCTGTACACGATTTAGAACGAGTCCATTCATAAATTGCAATAATCAAAGTATATTACAGTTGATATTGCTCATAAAAATCATTTATTTATCATCCAAATTTACATACTTTAAAATAATACGTTTGAAAATGCTCTAAATACTATCTAATTATTTCAACAAAAATTATCGAACATCTTTTCAAAAAAATCGTAAACTTTTTAGTGTATTGAATAATAATTAAAAAATGTCACGTTAATAAAAAGTTTGCTTAATGTACATCTTTATTCAGTTAAAACTTAACCATTAATATTAACTGACACATTGAGAATAAAAAATAGTTAATAACATACAGAAGTTAAATTTAATCGAATTTAGTCCCCACCAAGTGCCCGGAAAGTACCCGAGGAAGTGCCCGCAAAGTACGCGGGAAGTGCACGCCAAGTACTCGGGAAGTACCCGCCAAGTAACCATAAAGTACCCGAGGAAGTACCCGGGAAGTATCCGCCAAGTGCCCGGGAAGTACCCAAGGAAGTACCCGCCAAGTATCCGGGAAGTACCCGCCAAGTACCCTGGAAGTGCCCGGGAAGTACCCGAGGAAGTGCCCGGCAAGTACCCGACAGTATTGTACTTGGTGGGTACTTCCCGGGTACTTGGTGGGTACTTCCTTGGCACTTGACGGGTACTTCCCAGGCACTTCCCGGGCTTTTCCTCGGGTTCTTGGCGGGCACTTGGCGGGTACTTCTCGGGTACTTCCCGGGCACTTCCTCGGGTACTTGGCGGGTACTTCCCGGGTACTTGGCGGGCACTTGCCGGGTACTTCCTGCGCACTTGGCGGGTACTTCCCGGGCACTTGGCGGGTACATGATTATTGCAATTTATGAATGGACTCGTTCTAAATCGTGTACAGACGACATACCCGGGAACATAAGCAAGACATACCTAACAATATTTTTGACCGAGAGCTCGACTATTTTTGCAAAAATACGATCGTGTAGAGTGGAAAAATCCCTACTGATATGGTATTTTACTTTCATTCGAGGTAACATTACTTAAGTATAAAAATTTAAAGATGTTTTTGTCCAACATGAGAGTGAGAAAGACAGTAAGCGCGTGGATAAACAACTGACAACTTAAGGAGCAGACAATATTTACCTCAAGGTAAAAATTTTTACATCCAACCTTCAAGTTACCAGCAGTAGCTGACGCTCTTGCGTGCGCACATGGATATAGTTCTCACTGCTTACCGACTAAGCTCCAATAACAATGTGGCAACGTCGCGAGTTCATGCGGGCGCGCTATAGCCTTCCAACCCCATTTAGGGGTAGTTTGGAACGTATTTTCAATCGGCTCCTATTTAAAAGCTATTTGCCCTAAAAAATTAATTCCAACGGGGTTCGCGTCAGAAAAAATCGCTCTACACGTGGTTCTCGGGAAATGCCACCGTTACATATCATGCTGTATATAACTTATAGTTGGCGAAAAAGCGGATTAAATCGAGCGATTTATGTTTTCGTACGACTTATTAAAAGAAGAGTTTTTTATCGGAAAACAGATGCAATTAATTGAAGAGTCAACGAGAATTGCTGAATATATTACTGGGGACGCTTTTCGGGGATTTTTTTAACGAATGCACGCTTTCGAGTGTACCTACACTTTGCATACGCATTTTTTTTCATTCAAAGAGAGAGAGAGAGGGAGGGATCTAGTCCCCGAGAACTTGAAATTTTAATTAAAGCTCCTCCCTGGCAACGCGAAAATTATTCACCCACGAGTTTTAGCATAAAAGTATCTTAAATTTTAATTTCATGGGCATGAAAAAAAAAACAAAGTCGATATTTTAATCACCAAAGCTCGACCCTTCATGTTTAATTCTCGTTATAAAAATGCATTAAAAATATTAAATTGCAATACTCCACGGCGCGACAACATTTAGATTATTGGATCTCCGATGGCGACAGGAGTAATGATCAAAAGGGTGTGCATTACTTAATGAGGAGCAAAAGTCAGAAATAACTCGCGAACTACGATGCTCACCTTCACCTCGATGAAAGAAAAAAAAAAATAAAACAAACGCGCAAAATTTGTCGTCGTACATTACACTGAGTAACCTTTTTTTTTTTTCTTTTTTTTTTTTGTCACCAATTCGTGTCTCGAACGAATCAATGAGCTCAGGATACAGGAAGTCAAAGCACATTGACGAAAAATCCGACTCTCCGATACAGCGAAAGAGAAAAAAAAAAAAAAAAAAAACGACATAAAAGGAAAGAAAAACAATGGAGGGGAAACACGCGAACCGAGCACACAAAAGAAAGCTGTGCAACCCCCAGGTGAACAAAGGGGAGAGGGACGTACGTACGTACAAAACGCGAGTCTTTTCGACAGGGCGAAAGAGGGTGTCACTAGGCGAGAGAGGAAAAGAGGATGGAGTACAACGGTACACGTAGCGGTCGCGTCGTATCTCCGGGCTAGCACTCGTGCCACAAAGACACACGTATATATAGATTCAAGCTAGGGTATATGGGCGCGCGGGAGGTGTGTATAATGTATATGTGTCACACATTTTGCGCGCGTGCCTCGTACATACAATACATACCTACCCACCGCCCGGCTTGGTTACCTGTACTGACACCCTTATATACACTGTCCCTTATTTTCCATCTCAAGCCAGTGCCTGTATAGTAAGTAACAAGTGTTACATTTTCCCCGGCAGCAGCAACTCTATATCTCCTCGTAGGAATTGTAAGAAAGGAAAAACAGGCCAGATGAGACTGTGGCAAAAAAAAAAAATAAAATAAAATAACTAAATAAAATAAAAAATAAACACAGACGCTGTTAACCATAGCGTGTATACATTACGATCTGTATCATGCACAATTACTTACTCTACTGTAGCCTGCACTGGGGAGAAAAAAAAAGAAGAAAAAAAAAACACATTTACAGCCGCCCACTGTAGTGGCGAGCAAACAAGTGTCCGGCGTTATCCGGAGCCTATATGATAATGTGGACACTCGCGCGCGCGCGGCGTTTCGTTCACTCGCGTCACATTCGTCCAAACCACGATCAGCCGTGGGCCCTTGATGGAGGAAAAAAAAAAAAAAAAAAAAAAAACCCTTAAGCGAGCACACACAAAACGGTGGTAAACAAGCGTATAGGGTGTTATATATGTATACACACGAGGTTCGAAGAGTATAAATACGGCGATAGCGCGCCGTGGAGCTTGACCGGCTAGAAAGAGCAGCGGCAAGGCAAGTGGTTTCAGTCGGTCTGGCGGCAGCCGAGCCGCGTTACCCTCGGTATAGGTATATACAGGTATGACACGGGGGTGGCTGGATAGGTATAGGTACACGGGGCAATAGCGCGCGCGCCTCCCGTCCTCTCTCTCTCTCTCTCTTCGCTTGCTTTTCCCCCCTATTCTCTTATATACGCCTCGCTCACCTGCTATACCGGTGCTGGTGTGATGGCGACGACGACCACCTTAATAAATATATAGGTAGGCACGTATGTGTGTGTACCAAAGAGCCCCTCTCGGAGACACACACGGGGGGAGTCACACGTACAACCTATAATCCAGCTCTACCCCCCCCCAACTCTTACATCC